GCACAGTTCACTTGAATTTTGGAGTGTCTCTAAGTAGCTTCATTTCTGCTAAAATGTGCTGTACAACATAATGAAGAAACTTTCTGTGAAGATACACGAAAAGAAACATGTACAGTGTTTCTTCAATAAAAGAAAGCAATTATGAAAAGCAGAAGGCAGTAAATGAATTTTTTAGATGACTGTGTTCTCTAGGTGACATTTGTAGTAAGAAACATTCTTTTCGAGTTGGCATACACACTCTTTTACTTCCAAAGTAATTTAACTCTAAGAAATCTTGAGTTATTTAAACTAACACTTTTCTGGCTATTAGCAGAATGAGTATCACCATGGCATGTATAGTTTACTCGGTTTGTGGAGTATCTCTATTTAAGTACCTTTATTTCTGTTGATATGTAGAGTACAATATAATAAAGAAACTTTCTGTGATGATATGTGAAAAGAATCAGATACAGTGTTCCCACATTAAAAGAAAGCAATTATAAAAAACTCGCAATGAATGTGTTCAGTAGGTGATGTTCCTAGTAAGAAACATTCTTTTGGATTTCGCATAAACACTCTTTTACTTCCAAAGTAATTTAAATCTAAGAAATCTTGAGTTGTTGAAACTAACACTCTACTGGTAATTAGCAGAATGAGTACCACTTGGACATGCTCCAAACATCAAGGGATCTGTGCATGCCCAGGTGATGCTCATTCTGCTAATGCCAGAAACGTGTTAGTTTTAAATAACTCAATATATCACAGCTGTAAATTACTTAGGCATAAAAGGAGTGTTTATATGAACACTAAAAGAATGTTTCTTACATTAAACAAGTGTAAGTGTATGTTTCTAGGTGACATTCTTAGTAGGAAACCCGGGCATGCATAGTTTACTTCATTTGTGAAGTGTCTCTGTTTAAGTACCTTTATTTCTGCTGATATGTAGAGTACAACATAAACAAGGAAGTTTCTGTGAAGATATGCACAAAGAAATATACAGTGTTCCCAAATTAAGGGAAAACACTTGTTAAAAAAACGCAATAAATGTGTTCTATACATGACGTTCCTAGTAATGAATATTCCTTTAGTGTTCATATAAAAACTCCTTTACTGCCTAAGTAACTTACAACTATGATATATTGAGTTATTTAAAACTAACATATTTTTCGTTATTAGTATAATGAGTACCACCTGGGCGTGCACAGTTCACTTGATTTGTGGTATGTTTCTAAGCTTTATTTTAGCTGAAAAGCACAGTACAATGTAATAAAGAAACTTTCTGTGAAGTTATGCAAAAAGAAACACATACCGTGTTCCCGCATTAACAGAAAGCGATTATTAAAAAACTCAATGAATACATTCAATAGGTGACGTTCCTAGTAAGAAACATTCTTTTAGTGTTCATATAAAGACTCCTTTTATCCCTAAGTTATTTACAGCTATGATATATTGAGTTATTTAAAACTAACACGTTTCTGGTTATTAGCAGAATGAGCACCACCTGGGTACGCACAGGTCACTTGATGTTTGGAGCATCTGTGTCTAAGTAGCTTTATTACAGCTGAAATTCACTGTATAATGCAATGAAGAAACTTTCTGAGATGAAACAAGAAACATGTACAGTGTTCCTGAATTAAAAGAAAGCAATTATAAAAAGCAGAAGGTGGTGAATGCGTTTGTTAGATGAATACGTTCTCTAGGTGACATTCTTAGTAGGAAACATTCTTTTAGTGTTCGTATAAACACTTTTCTACTGCCTAAGTAAATTAAAGCTAAGATATCTTGAGTTATTGAAACTAACGCTTTCCTGGTTATTTGCAGAATGAGTACCACTTGGGCATGCACAGTTCACTTGATTTGTGGAGTGTCTCTGTTTAAGTACATTTATTTCAGCTGAAATGTACAGCACAATGTAATAAAGAATGTTTCTGTGAAGATACATGAAAAGAAACACAGTTTTCCCAAATTAAGAAAAAGCAATTATCAAAAAAACACAATGAATGCATTCTATAGGTGACATTCCTAGTTTAAAAATAAAAACGACCATTTTGGTATTCATTTAAATACTATTTTACTGCCTAAGTAATTTAAATCTTTGGTATATTGAGTTATTTAAAATTAACACATTTCTTGTTATTAGCTGAACAAGTACCAACTGGGCATCCACAGTGCACTTGATTTCTGGAGCGTCTCTGTTCAAGTACCTTTATATCGGCTGAAATGCACTGTACAATGTAATGATGAAACTTTCTGTGAAGATACTAGAAAAGAAAGGTACAGTGTTCCCCAATTAAAAGAAAGCAATTATAAAAAGTAGAACTCACTAAATATGTTTTAGAGTAAGAAACATTCTTTTGGTGTTGTTATAAATACTTTTTTTCTGCCTAAGTAAATTAAAGCTAAGATATCTTGAGTTATTTAAAACTAACACTTTTCTGGTTATTATGAGAATGAGTACCACCTGGGCATGCATAGTTCATTTGAATAGTGGAACATTTCTGTTTAAGTACCTTTATTTCAGCTGAAATGTACTGTACAATGTAATGAAGAAACTTTCTGTGTTCCCACGTATAAAAAACTTACAGTGTTCCCACATATAAAAGAAAGCAATAAAAAGCAGAACTCACTAAATGCATTCACTAGGAGACGTTCCTAGTAAGAAACATTCTTTGGTGTTCACATAAACACTCTTTTACTGTGTAAGTAATTTAAAGCAAAGATATCTTGAGTTATTTAAAACTAACACTTTTCTGGTTATTAGCAGAATGAGTACCACCTTGGCATGCCTAGTTTACTTGATTTGTTGTGCTCTGGTTGTGTGTTTACGGAAAGTCACCTGTCATTGCCTCACCCATGAAATGGGGATAATTCCTACTCTGTGTCCTGTGCTTGGTTACCCCAAAAGCCATTCCTTTAAATGTATGCTGAGTGCTAACCATGTGTCAGTTAGAGACAAACCTGTGAAGACAGATAGGTTCTTTACTTCATGGATCTCCTGTTATAATGAGAAATGAAGGAAAGATAATGCAAAGAACCCTTAAACACATATGTGTCTGGGGGGCAAGTCATGACAGATTTTTCTCTGAAGACAGTGATGCTGGGGCTGAGTCAGTGCACTGAGGCTAAGGACAAGAAAGGCGCACAGTGGTGTGACTGTTGTTACTTTTCATGAGGCTTGGGCTGATCAGCCAAAGCTCAGGAGGCAACATGTTGATTGGAACCTCAAGGTTGACTTAGGGTTCTCAATGGAGAAATATTGTAGACTACAGGGACAAGAAAGTCTCACCCAGGATGACATATGAAAAAGCCACAAGGTCAAGAGAAAAGTAGCTATGCTTGCATGAACTGAGAGAGGACTGGCATGGGGCCTTCAGCCAAGTTACTGGACATCAAAGTGTGGAAAGAGAAAGCCAATAAGAGTTCTGAGTGAGCATGTTGGCCTTTGTGTCAAGAGACTATGGCTGCAGATTTAATGAGGCAGTGTGGGTGAAGAAGCACCAGGCTGTGTTTTCTCTTCTTATACCAAGAATGGCATATCTCCTGCTGCCATTTCCTAGTGTGGCAGGATAAACATTTGGACCCATCCTTCTGTGTTTTTCTTCTTTGGGTTCTGATTGGTGTGGTGTGTGTGTGTGTGTGTGTGTGTGTGTGTGTGTGTTCTGTTTAATCAGAACTTTGCAGTTTGGTTTTTTTCAGACACTAGGCCATGGGTGAAGAAGGTTGGTTGCCATCTTTCTTTCAACATTAGCTCTCCATTTACTTCTTATATTTATCTTTCTCATTAACCCAAGCAATATAGAATTATTGTGAAATACAGGTAAGTGAAATAGAAATTATTAAATGCCAAATAGCCCACTGTTCAGAAATAAGCATTAGCATCAGGTTAATGTACACAAAACCCCTTTAGTCTTTCTTCCCTCATAATTTAAGTAATTTACCACCAGGCAAGGAGAGAGCACCATAACAGTAGGTGGATTGACTAAGGAAGTCATTGATGCTTCCTCATTTTTATAGTTTGCAAAATTTACTAAAAGATTTTGGCTTTAAAATTACCAGAAGAGATTCACTTTTAAAGAATTATATGTCAAGAAGAAAAGAATTATATGTCTTAGAAAATATATAGTCTATGATATATATATTATGTGTATATCACTGCAATATACAAAAGTCTATATATGTTCTCTAAATATATTTTAGAAACATGATTTATCTACTTAGCTCTGGCTGTTCTGGAACTCACTATGTAGACCAGCCCAGCCTTGAGCTCACAGAGATCCACCTACATCTGGCTCCCAAGTGTTGAGATTAAATGTGTATGCCACCATGTTTCTTCTTTTATCTTCAAAAGTACATTATATAATTACCTGATTAAATAATTTTTACAAACTTTATGTGTATGAGTGTTTGCTTGCACATACAAATGTGCACCACAGGTGTGACTGGTGACATCAGGGACCAGAGAAGAGCATCAGATCCCATGGAAATTAAGTTCTGGATGGTTGTGAAACACCATGTAGGTGCTTTGAATCAAACCCTAGCCCTCTGAAAGACTAGGAAATCCTGCTGAGCCATCTCTCTAGCTTCCTAATTAAAGATTATTTGGCTCTTGTTAAAAGTTAACATTAGTGCCAAGCTCTTTAGAAAAATTTGAAAACTTGGAGGACTGAGGCTAAGTTGATAACAAGACTTCTGCCTGTGCTGGGGTTGAAGAGTCATTTTCCTCATTTTTCCTCTCCTAAGCATTCTTCTAAGGCAATTCTCCACCAGGAAGAGGATAAAAATAGTTCTAAGTCATTTAAAACCATTGAATAACTTAATAAGTGCATGGAACATGGTAGACACTCAAATGTGTGCTGTTTTCTCTTATTTCTGTTCTTTCCTCTGAACCCAGAAACACAAAAGCTACCTTACTTGTTTTCTCAAATTCAACAAAGAACTTCTGCACCATTCTGCTCCCCTTCCTACTTCCTCTACAACAACATTACCACTCTACCACCTTTATTAACTAAAAACTAAAATTCCCTGCTCCTACAGGCATTGCAGATATGGTTTCTGAGTCATGTATGGGTCAGTAGGTGGCAGAGAGGAGAGAGGCTATGTCTATATTAAATGCTCTGACCCATGAACATCTGAACAATTCATAGCCTAACATTCCCAGAAAAAATTGAACTTGAGGTAAACACCAGTCCTGCACCAGGAGACTTGGACAGCGAACTGTCCTCCAGGACCATGGTGGGATTCTGGCTTGTGTTGCCACGGGAATTGAGGGTAGCAAGGTGTGGGGGGGGCGCACATCTGGGACCATGACCCTGAAGCAGCAGGAGTCTGTCACTTCCAAAGCCAAAGGCCAAACAGACATCCCTGGTCTGGGCTGCTCCCTAGGACATCTGAGGGATAAATTTGACCCCTCCCCTTACCTGCCTGCCCACTTATCTTCAGAGCAGTAGCACGAACTAGGGAGAGATATCCTCCTTTCCTCTCCCCCACCACATGTGGCAGGTGGGAGACTTGACATGGAGTCATGAGAGCAGGAGAGCTGACCCTGCCTCTCTCCAGCTGTAGCACTTGGGAGAGCTGGCCCTGCTTCCAGACAGCACAGCAGAACTGGCCCTGAATGTGTGGGTTGTGCATGCACGAACGCCCAGGACACGAGTGTAAGAGAGCCAGCTCTGCTTCTTATCTGCCTGAGCAGCAGGGTAGAGCTGGCCCTGATAGTGCGAGTTGCTGGTAAGCCAGCCCTGAGGGCATGAGAATGGGAAAGTTGGTGGGCTGACAAGCTCAGATACCTCTCTGGGCAGATACAGGCCTTTGAATTGGCCCACTCCAAATCTACCCTATCTATGAACTGTTGGAATGGATGAAGGGGCTGGTCCTACAAATCCAAAACTACAGAATCTTCATGACACAGGGCAACAATAAGATTTCTGAGAGGAGTCTCAGTAAGGTACTTATAAGAGTAGCAGAAGCCAGAGGACTTGTACCAGATGAAGTCATTGTAATGAACATTTGCAAGAGAAGAAGTGTGGTCAAAAGAGTATACCGTGGGACACACTATGACATATTACAGCTTTCACAATGAAATTATTTTTCTCTTTTGTGGGGGGAGGTTGCAAGGGTGGAGGGTGGGTACAGGAGGAGAGGAAGATGAGTAGGATTGGGATGCATGATGTGAAACTCACAAAGAACCAATAGAAGTTATAAAAAATAAACCAAACTTACTTGCTTAGATAGATTAATTCCCCTTAATTATAATTAGGTATTTATTATTTTTTAGCAAGTCATCAACCAGAAATATTTAAACCTAACTTGTGTTGTTCCCACAACCTAATATTTAAACCTAACTTGTGTTGGTACTCCTCTGAGACAAGGATGGCCAGCTGCAAGAACCACGGGTCTAAGTGACCACAGCAGAGGGATTGTTTGGGAAATGGTCTCTGAATGATAGTCCCTTCTCAGTACTGCATGCTTAGCATAGCGAAATGGCATTCCCTGCAGAAATCATGAAGCTTTCCTTTTTTCTTAGGCTCCACCATGCTTAATTGTCTTCTTCCTTCTGAATGCAGAGAGCTAAGGTTGCATTTGCTGCAAGAGAGCTAAGATAACATTACGTCGTGTCTCAGTCTTGTGCCCTTGGATGAAAACAAACAAATAACACACACACACACACACACACACACACACTACCTTCAAGGCTGAAGAAAGGCTGTTTTGCATTCCACATTTCAAACCTCTCATTTTCTTATTTAATCTTATTATTATTTTTAAAATTGTGTCTGTGTGTGTGTGTGTGGTAAATGCACTTGTTAGTAGGGGTGTGTGCACAGTGTCTATGGGAGTATGTGCATATGTGTAGCTTTGACAATCAGAGTGACGTCTTTCCTCCACTACTCACCATCTTCTCTTTGTGACAGCATCTCTTCCTAAAAATCCAAGCTCATGGACTTAGCTAGCTTGCTGGTCAGTGAACTTCAAGGATATCCCCTGCCCCCAGCCTCCTCTTCCTCCTAGTGCTTGGGTGGTTCCAGGCAAAAAGCCACCATGCCAGGCTTTTTATGTGGATGCTGGAAATCTAAACTCAGGTCTTTTTGCTGGCCCATTAGGCACTTTATTGATTGCGCCAACTTCTCAACCCAGTAATGTTATTTAAAAAGTACTCTATTCAGAGATATTGTCTGATCTGGTTTATTCCAATTCCCGAGCAACCCCCGTCCCAAACATGATTTAATGCCATCTCTTTAGTCTTGGTAGAAGCTCAGTAGCAAGCTGAGGATAAAGTGGGGAAAAAAATGGCCGCAACAGCCCAGTGAACCAGATTGCAGCTTTCATCCACTGGGAAACAATTGTATGCAGATGAGAAAATATTGAACATTTTTGACAGTAATTTAATGTTATCCATTTAAAAGGCATCTGATGATTTTAAAAATGGAAAATTTTGTTTCTCATCCCCATCAACAGATATTAAACTTTCCACAATTCCTTATGGCTATGTCAGTCTTGATGCTCATAATGCCTTTGTAGAATAACACTCAGCAGAAAAACCTCCATAATAATCAGGAGGTTTGGAAGAAACAAAATTACATTTTTATTACAAGCGAGTAACATTTTAAATCATTAAAATGTTTCTCCATCCAGCCCATCAGTTCCAGCTGGTGGCTAAATCCTGACTATACAAGTATTTCCTAGCGTGGTAGTTTGATGCTGGGAAGAGTGTTGGAGCCATCCCTTCTATTTCTGAAGGAATTTGCCCAAAGTTCTACAGTCAGATGTGGTAGGCTGCACCTATGACAGTCTGATCCTACCTCCCACACTAAGTCGTTCTCTGAGAGATGGCTGGCTGGTGACTTTCTCAAGTTATCCTGTTGACATTCATTCAATATTCTGAGAGAAATCCTTTTTGAAAGATAGTGAGCTGTGTGTGTCTAGACATGAGCAGGTGTGATGCATCCTGCCTCCAGGTTCTAAGACTCAACATAAAGTTGGGGCAGACAGATATAAGATAAACCTTAATGGGTAGTCTGCTTTTCAATTCAGTTTAGAGGATAGAGACTGCAATAAGCCACAGTGTTATCAAGAGACAAGAAGCAAGAACTTGACCCTGAATGTAACAGAATGTAACAACTCCCATGACTTCCTCTAACCTAACTTGCCAGTATGTCAATTCTCTGAAAGTTAGGAGGTGCTGGCTTCTCGGAACCTAATTCTAAGCAAAAGATTTAAGAGGAGACAAGGTTTCTTATGTGGCTATTAACTGATTACATCTATATTTATGTTTCAATTTAGAGAAAACAAAACAAAAAATGGTCAAGAGTGTGAATGGGAAGCCATGACTGACAGACTAAGGGAACAATTCTCTGATGTAAGCCTGATTCAGAAGGCATCCAAAAGCATCCCCAAACAGCAGAACAGTGGGAGAGCAGAGTGGAGACCACTCAAAACTAGCCATAACCTGGCACCCCAGAGGGAATCTTATGACAGGAAATCCGATGCGTAGTGGCTCCCCATAATTGCCCCACCAGCCAAATGAGGCCTGCCCTCATTTACATAGCAAGAATTTCATGCCAGGGGAAATTGTCCATAGAATGGCTGGCTCTAACCAAGCAGAGAATCCCTTCAAAAGGCAGACCACAACACTTCATTACACACAGAGGTGGTTCTTCAGTTATCACCATGCCTGCTGTTTTCCTTCAAGTATACTGAATAAACTCATTTTCTTTGTACCGTGGCCTAAAGGATGAAGAATTTCTATAATCTGAAAGATCTCTTGTCACAAACAATAGAGAAGCTGGATGTGTATTTTTCTTGTGCAGTAAAGTCACACCTAGAAGTGGATGCTGGGTAAGCCAGGAGCAAATCTTCAAAGGAGAGTGAATGACCACTGCCTTATGCCTCAGACCAGGAGGACTGAAGAGTAGGAAAGAAAGCAATTTAAACATGAGATTTCTAGAGAAGAATATTTGCTGAAAAGAGATTTAGATTCAACATCATGAGGAAATCTTCAGCAGGGCTCAGAGCCCTCCTTTGCAGGGGCTTCTAATAGATTCTGAATTGGCCAAACATCTAGAGAGTTTGGAAGACAGGTTTATTGTGTCAGGGAAAGAAAGAACTGTGTGTATGGCTCCTCACATCTCCCTGGACTGAGAAGCACACACTGGGGAGTGTTGGCTCTCGGTTCCCCTCCCCTCTTTCCTCTTTTACTCAGTCTAAGCTCTTAGCACACATGATGGTGCACCCTACATTTAGGTGTGTCTTTCCCATTCTGTTAATTCTCTCTGAAATGGGCTCAGAGATATACTAGCAGGTTTTCTATTATCTTCCAGGTGAGTCTTAATCCAGTCACGTTTACAATGATGACCCAGCTCACAAATAGCACCAACTAACCAAATGCTGTCCAAGAGTAATGATGGAAGAAAACTTCACATAGTCTCTTGTTCCGATTCTAGCAATGTACCATATACATTTCTCACCATTCTCTAAAAATTAATCAAATCATTAAATGTCTACTATACACATTTAATCAACTGTGATGCAGCTTTATATGGGAGCTCATCTACAGTTTTGCTGGATTAAAACAACTGTAATCTTTTTTATAGTTGAGCCCACTTGATTTTTCTCTACACATTTGTTTTTCTTTTTTTTTTTTTCTGTTTTCTTTTGTTTCTTTGTTTGTTTGGTTGGTTTGGTTTTTTGGTGTTTTTGTTTGTTTTTTTCAAGACAGGATTTCTCTGTATAGCCCTGGCTGTTCTGGAACTCACTCTGTAGACCAGGCTGGCCTCGAACTCAGAAATTTGCCTGCCTCTGCCTCCCAAGTGCTGGGATTAAAGGAGTGCGCCACCACTGCCTGGCTTCTCCACCCACTTGTTACCTGTGTCCTCTTTGTCCTCTAAACCTTCAATTTCTCAGTCTACCCAGATCCAGTCAACTTTTATCAATCCCTTCCTCTATGATTCTGAGAAAGCAAGTCCCTGATGTGAAGGATATTTTCAAATGTATTGCTCTTTTTACTTGATTAAAAAAAACATTCTATTGTAGTTAAAATATTATGTCTGAATAATCTTTGCCCTCTGAACATTAGGTTTTCATAACATCTGAGGACTCTTTGTCTCTAATATTTTTAGTGTCTGGGGCTGAACAGATGGCTCAGGTGTCACTTAGT